TTCTTTGAAACACAAAAATCCTTTCTTTGGAACATAAAATCTGTTTTTTTTCTTTTCTTTATTTTCTTTATGACTCAAAACTCTAATAACAACAAAAAAAACAAAATAACAAAATTCCACACCCCCAAACCTAAACTAAGCATTGTCCTCAATGTTTAAAGTAAATGCATGTAACAATTAGTAAAGGCATAGAAGGATGGAAAATAAATTGAAAAGAAAGGAACGAAGGTACCTAGTTGGGTTGCCTCCCAACAAGCGCTTGGTTTATAGTCGCTAGCCCGACTTTGTGAAGATGATCACTCGGGTTCATGGAGAGCAAGAGTCTCCTTTTGGTGATCAAAATTTGCTTCCAAGTATGGCTTCAAACGTTGTCCATTCACCTTGAAGATAGTGCCGAGAGCATCATGTTGAATTTGAATAGTACCATACGGAAATATTTGCAATACCGTGCAAGGTCCAGACCATCGAGACTTGAGTTTTCCGGGAAAGAGTCGAAGACGAGAGTTGTAGAGAAGAACTTTTTGGCCCACATAAAAATCTTTCCGAATAATATGTTTGTCGTGCCATTTCTTAGTACGTTCTTTATAAATCTTTGCATTCTCATATGCATCATTCCGGAACTCATCCATCTCATTCAATTGCACGGTTCTCTTTTCACCGGCGGCTTGCATGTCGAAATTAAGTGTCTTGACAGCCCAATAAGCTTTATGCTCAAGTTCCACGGGTAAGTGACAAGCTTTCCCAAAAATAAGTCGAAAAGGGGACATACTTATGGGTGTTTTGTATGCCGTTCGATAGGCCCATAGTGCATCATCCAATTTCAAGGACCAATCTTTTCTAGAGGCACTAACCGTCTTTTCTAAGATGTGTTTCAATTCCCTATTCGAAACCTCGACTTGCCCACTAGTTTGGGGATGATAAGGAGTGGCAACCTTATGTGTAATACCATATTTAGCAAGAAGAGAATTAAAAGAACGGTTATAAAAATGCGTACCTCCGTCACTAATTATGGCACGCGGAGTACCAAAACGAGTGAAGATGTTCTTTCTTAAGAATCCGAGCACACTCTTGGCATCATTGGTAGGCAAAGCCACGGCTTCAACCCACTTAGAGACATAATCAACGGCTACCAAAATGTAGAGATTGTTGTAAGATGGTGGGAAAGGTCCCATGAAGTCAATTCCCCAAACGTCGAATATTTCAACCTCCAAAATGTTGGACAACGGCATTTGATCTCGACTAGAAATATTCCCGGTTCTTTGACAACGATCACAAGCTTGGACAAATGTATGAGCATCCTTGAATAAAGTTGGCCAAAAGAATCCCGATTGGAGTACCTTAGCCGCTGTTTTGGTGGCTCCGAAATGACCTCCACATGCTAGTGAATGACAATGATGAAGAATACCAACCATCTCGGACTCATTCACACATCTTCGGATAACTTGATCGGGGCAATGCTTCCATAAATAAGGATCATCCCAATAATAATACTTTTCTAGTGAGAAGAACCTTTTCTTTTGTTGAAAAGTCATGTCGGGTGGAAGGACATTACTAGCCAAATAATTGACATAGTCGGCATACCAAGGGGCAATGGAAGATTGGATGGCGAAGAGTTGTTCGTCGGGAAATGTCTCGGCTATAGGTATGGCAGCAGCTAGTTTTTCCTCGTCTCTATCTTGGATCAACCGAGATAAATGATCAGCCACGACGTTTTCAGACCCCTTTTTGTCTCTTATTTCCAAATCAAATTCTTGTAATAACAATACCCATCGAAGCAACCGTGGCTTTGCATCTTTCTTTGATAATAAATACTTCAAAGCGGAATGATCGGTGTAAACAATTACCTTAGAACCAATGAGATAGGAACGAAACTTGTCTAAGGCAAAGACAACGGCTAGTAGCTCTTTCTCGGTTGTGGCATAATTCAATTGGGCATCATTGAGAGTTCGGCTAGCGTAGGAAATCACATGAAGCAATTTGTCTTTCCTTTGGCCTAAAACAGCCCCTACAGCATAGTCACTCGCGTCGCACATAATTTCGAACGGTACTTCCCAAGTTGGTGCGATAATGACTGGAGCGGATGTGAGTTTCTCCTTTAGAATCTTGAAAGCCTCCAAGCATTGATCATCAAAGTTGAATGTGACATCCTTGAGAAGGAGATTGCATAATGGCTTCGTAATCTTTGAAAAATCCTTAATGAAACGACGATAGAACTCGGCATGACCAAGGAAGCTTCGGACTCCCTTCACGGAGGTAGGTGGTGGCAAATTGGCAATAGTATCTATCTTGGCTTTGTCAACCTCAATCCCTTTGGCTGAAATCTTGTGCCCCAGGACTATTCCTTCTCTTACCATAAAATGGCATTTTTCCCAATTCAAAACCAAATTAGTTTCTTCGCAGCGTTGTAGAACCAAGGCTAAATTTGAGAGACAAGAATCGAATGATGACCCAAAAACAGAGAAATCGTCCATGAATACTTCAATAAAGCGCTCCACCAGATCAGAGAATATACTCATCATGCAACGTTGAAAAGTAGCAGGGGTGTTGCACAAACCGAATGGCATTCTTCTATAGGAAAAGGTACCGAAAGGGCAAGTGAAGGTAGTCTTTTCTTGGTCTTCGGGCTCTATTGGGATTTGATTATATCCCGAATAGCCATCTAGAAAACAATAATAGGCATGGCCAGCTAACCTCTCCAACATTTGATCAATAAACGGCAAAGGGAAGTGATCCTTACGAGTTGCGGTGTTGAGCTTCCTATAATCAATACATACACGCCAACCGGTCACGGTCCTTGTAGGAATGAGCTCGTTGTTGTCATTCTTTACTACCGTGATTCCTCCCTTTTTTGGCACTACTTGGACTGGGCTTACTGTTCGGTTCATTTTTACACATGATTTTTCATGTTATTCACCCACTATTTTGAGTTAGTTCTTGACATTTTATAGCTTTTTACTTCTTTTTTGTGTTTTAATAGGTTTTACCTTGGTTTGTATGAAAATGAGCTAAAAGTGCATTATTTGATATAAATTCTGTTTTTGTTCATTTTCGTAGGTCAGCTTCGTGGCCTTGGATCAGCATGTTCCGGTCCTTGGATGAGGTGATGATCTTCATAAGACTTGTTCCAATGGATGTTAACTACAACATATCCAAATTTGAGCTCCATTGGGCAAGTGTAGCCTATCCAACTGATCGGACAATTGATGCTGGCTCTGGATGTTTGTTTTGGCCCAGTTTTCACCCCCACTTAATAGCATTTTATTTCTACTTGTTACCACACCTTTTGGTAACAATGGATTGCATTTGAGTGGCATTTCCTGAGTCAATTGGAGCCTTGGATTATACCTTAAAACAAGGCTTCATCATTTGCAAGGGGACAATGGGCAAAAGCTTTAGAGAAAGAATAAGTTTTATATTAAAAGTGAGCTGGAAAGAAGGGGCAGAAGTCAAAAGGGATTGCAATCAGATTTGGGGGAATTGTTGCAACGGGAGAGAGGGTATTCCATCATTCTACACAATTGAGAGCAGATTTTGGAGCTTGGAGCTAGGAGAAAGACAAGGTGCAGTCAAGAAAAGTGGAGAAGAAGACTTCCACCATTGATGATCTTGAAGCTTTCATCATTTTCTGAAAATCTGTAAACTCTTTCTAATTTCATTTTGAATTTGTGTTTGAAATGATTATGAGGAACTAAACTCCATAGCTAGGGCTTAGGTTGAAGACCTAAACATGATTACCTTTTTGTTTTGATGCTTGAGTGTATGAATTTCTAGATATTGTTGATGAATTCCAATTCACCAAATTAATCTATCCTTGATGTGTGTTTTCCTTGATTGAGTACCTTTGAAAGCATGCTTCTTGAGGTTGTTGGGATTATATGTATCTTCATGTTTTCCTAAGCAATAGATGGATGGAGTAAGAACCATCCATGTGAATTGGTTTCTTGAATACCTAATGTAAACACCATGCTATTAGGATTCTTGTGATGTTCATATTCTCTTTGAACTTAATGGGTTCTCCTTGTAATTGAATCAAAGTACGAACCATACCTAGGTTCAGTTATGGGGAGGGCACAAGTATTGTAGCACGAACCATGCACATTACGTATATTAGAGAGAATCAATGCGTCTTGAGCCACGACCCATGGTCTCGATTGCGAACATCTTCATCAACAAGTTTAGAGTTCATCACTTGAGTATCCATGAACATGGATGGAATTGTTTAGGGTGGATTCTGAAACCCTAGTGTTTGTTACATTTTAATTTCACACTTTGATAATTCATCTCTGCCATTCACATTTAAATTCAAAGTCCATTTACTTTCATGCAATAGAAACAGGTCACTTGAACCAAATCAAAAAACCCCCCCCAATGTGTGTGTGAGTTGCGTGTTTGACACATTACGTGTCTTTGTTACTAAATTCTATTTGTTTCCGTAATTGTTTTGGACTTTTGGTACGAGTTGTGTTCTTCCATTTTCTGTGCTGAATCCAACCGCATAAAGAACGTGAATTTTGGACAAACGGTTGGAAAGTTATAGGTCAAAAACTGGACAGAGGTCAAAACTGAAAAACAGAGAGAACGAATCTGCCCAAAAACGACCGGTCGCTTTTGCCTTGCGACTGGTCGCGAGCCACGCAAAAATCAAGTTTCAAATCTGTGCAAAAACGACCGGTCGCACTGTTCATACGACCGGTCGCCAGCCCCTGTTC